TAGCCACCCTCGCCGGAAAAGAAGACCTAGTCGTCGGGAAGGAGAGTCGTCGCCACCCGCTGCCGTGCCAGAGCTACTTCCAACTGCCAAAAAAGGTAAAAATTTCTTCATTTGCTGGGAATTCAATTTTAAATACCCCTATGGTTAAATTGAAGTAAAAAGACTGGTTGATTGACCGAAAATCGCGGGTAAAGTCCGGCGCCACTGCCGCAGGGAATTTCACAAATCGTCTCCGATGAGGCCCTTCCCGATTCTCATTCGGTGTAATTTTTTCACCATTGTGATCAACGTTTCCTTCTCTATAGGTTGACCGGAGGAAAACAGCCAACCGTAATGTGAGCCGGAGGAGCCGCACCAGAGAGCCTTGCCGCCTGTGAGTTTCAATTTTTTGTATTTTTTCAGTCAATTGAGGCCCCTTAACGTGTTTTCTCACAGAGATCAATGTAAAATCGGTTGAAAACAGCGCAGCGGCGGGGCCCCCATGTCGAAATTCCAGAATTGACCAAAATTTAACCTTAAGGCTGATTTTGAAATATTTTTAGGTACTTATAGCGCGTTTTAATTTTCGAAGAAAAATTCAGGGAATACGGGGACTGCTAGTAGGCGCAGTCAATAGTTTAACTTTCCGGGCATTAAATTGAATAAGAATCTCTCACCATATCATCTATTATGGAGTTGAAGTTTAATTTTAAATAATATGGTATTTCATGAAATTTAGAAAATATGTATAATTAATTACGGGTTACTAATGAAGCTAGAACCGAAAATTATTCTCTGTTGATTTTTATTGATTTATTTAACAGTTTAAATACATGATAGTATCTGATTTATCGATTTTATGGTTTGAATGCATGTATTCCTGCCTTACGTGACTACTGTTAAATTGAAAAACTGAGATATGATTGTATTCCTTGATGCATGTTTGTTTGTTTATGTGATTATAGTTGATTTGAAAAATGGAGACTAAAGGAAAACGAAAAAATTGTGTGATTAAGTGAATGGATAAAACGAAAACATTACTGGATATCTTGAGAGATGGTGGACGGATCAGGTATAATAAGGAACCCCACCATAAACGTTGTCTCATACCAGACGGGGTATCGAGACTTGGTAATTTGGCACTCATACTGGACGAGATATGGGGACGACCCGTTTCATCCTCATATCGGACGTGGTATTGAGGTTTAGTGGTTTGACACTCATACCGGTCGGGGTATGGGGACAGTCTTTTAATTGAGAATGTTGAAGAAAATGGGTTCACGCGTACCGGAGGCATCCCTATGAACCCCTATGAATACCAGTAGACCGATAAAATGAAATGTTATTGTTTGATTTATTGAATATGGATTTATAATGTATGCATGTTACTAATTGCATATGGAATCATGATAAGTGCTATATTATTGTCTATATAGGTTGTCTTTATAAATCTCGCTGCGGTAAGTGGATGGTAAATTGTTTTATTATTAATAAATATATTTGTTTAATTAAATACTCTATTAGTTTTGATTTTTTACCAAACTTTATTTCTGTGTCGGTGAGTAGCGTGATATTCTTACTGGACTAGTGCATCTCATTCCTTATTTAATAATTTTAAATCA